ACTAAAAAGAACTGATTTAAAAATATTAGTGTGTTGAAAGTAAGGGCATTTGTTTACTTATCTGAGCCTAGAACTCCTGAACCCAAGTAATCCTGCCACAATCTCTTGAATAGCTAGGACTACAGGCATCTGCCACAACACCTGACTTAAGCATTGTTTCAGAGATACTTTTGGTTCATTTTATATGTAAATGTTCATGAAAACATATTTTTTGGAAACTATATTTCTTATTTGGGGTGTCAAGGTAAAAAAGAGCTTGAGTTCTTCCTAAACTTTCTCTTCACACAACACTTGATGTCTCAGAAATTTTTTCATGGGACTGTTATGCAAAAAACAAACAAACAAATCCCACCTAACAGTTTCAACAGTGAGGGTAAACCCTTTAGAGTTTTCAATAACAACAAATAGCCAGCTGTGGCACATATACTACAGGTTTACCACCACTGGATTAGAACGTGTAATTAAGTATGTGCTAATATTTAATAACAATATGAAACATATATTCATGTAAACTGGAAGAATTATTTTTATTATTAAATAAGCACAATTACTTACTAATGGAATGTGTGTATCTGGCAGATATTATACAACTTATCAAACCTTGAATCGTTTTGGCCACTGCCATCTTCATTTACTAGTCCACATTACTTTTGCACAGTACTTGCCGTGATCACAGCAGTTCTCCCAAAACCTAGTTCTGTGTCGTAAAACAAAAGAGCAAATCTCATGTGTATCACTTCAGACCAGTAGTTCCTACAGTATCCATGTGAGTTTACGCTGATGTGCTAATGTACCTCAATGCACAGTTTGAGAACTTTGAGCTTAGAAACATTATTCCAGCCAATGAGTTTGCTTTGTAAGTTAAGAAACAGGACTGAAGATCACAAAGCTAGTAGAAAAGTAAATTACTTATTAGAGGTTTTCATAGATTAACTTCAACCTTTCATCAACAAAAGTTTCAAAATAGGATCTAATCATGTATATTCTGTGGATGAAATCTGTAGATTTCTTTAAAAAACTATATTCAAAACCACATTTAAAAAAAAAAAAAACACACACAAAAAAAACACATTTATACTACCAGTAAAAAAATTCTGCTTTAGCAGTTTATTTTTTTTTAAAAGAAAGAAGTTTCAGAAGCTATAAAAATGGGCCAGGGATATAGCTCAGTGGCACAAGCACTTGCCTGGCAAGTGCAAGGTCCTGAGTTCGATTTCCGGTACAAAAAAAAAAAAAAAAAAGAAGAAGTTATAATAGTGAGTGTTAACAATAAAACAAAAGAAAGCATCTAAAGGGAAAAAAGGAAAGCCATTATTTCCCCAGGGATAAAACAGGCAACAGTCTTAACACCTATCCTTACAGACCTTTTTCTAAGTACATATAAAATCAAAACAAAATTATATTCTGTTGCCTAAATGTCTATTTTTTATAATCATATTGCATAGCATAGTGCAATTTATTTCTTGCAGTATTATATCATGAGTGTCCTTCCATGTCAGTACATAGTAGTAATAGCAAATACTTATGTGATATATACTGCACTTACTTAGGACACAAATACTAACACATTTGGTTTTCACAATAGCCCTGTAAAGTAAGAACCATTATTATATTCAGTTTATACAGAGGTTAAGTAACTTGTTAATGGTCAATGCAAGTACAAGTGATGCAGTTAGGACTTGAACCCAAAGAATCTGTTGTATGATCCATGAGCTGAAGGACATGCTCAGCTGCTTCTCATGAAGTAAATTTAGAGATACCCAAAACCTGTTAACAACTGCAGAATACCTCACAGCATAAATATACTACAATTTTAACTACTCCTCTACCAATGGACATGTAGGATATTTTTTATTATTTATAAATGTTGGCATTTATTGGTAATAATGCCAATCCAGACATTCTTAAAAAATTATTCCTATGCTTTGTGTTAAAATTTATGTAAGATAAACTAAAAATGAAATTATCCTATCAATGAGTATGCACACTTTTAGTTTTGACAAGTAAGGCAATGTTTCCTCCAAGAAAGCTGTTCCAGTTGCATCAACATATAGTTCCAATGACAGGATAGACAGTGCAGATTCATTTTTATATGAACAAATACTTTTGATTCATAAAAAGCACAGCCCGTTTTGAATTTTTAATACTGAAAATGATTACAGTTATGCACTGATTTGATAATTATCTCATACTAAATAAATGTAGACTCAGCAGGTGTATAGTGGATTGTCTCCCAGTTATAGAACCAATTATGAATGAGATACTTCTCCCTGTATGACTGTTTTCTTACATATAAAACATGAGAATTGGACTAGCTGGCATTTAAGATTTAAAACTCCCAAGGCTGTGATTAAGAAGTGACTTAACATTATTACAACCCTACAATTACAGTACCAGTGTAACAGGTTAGGGTCTAAAGCTCCGATTTTCTTTAAATTACAGTAACTACTGCCAGGTCACCTAGGCAAATCATTACAATAGTCAATAAAGATTTTAGTATCTACCTATGGCCTATTCTTAGTGGCTTTTCAATCCCAGGTTGTCATTCCCCTGCTACCTAGCAAATCTGAACATATCTCTAGAGTACACACCTAAAAAAAGCTGAAGGGTACATAGGAACTAAAAACTAGCTTTTTGTTTTGTTTTTTAAAATATTATCCTGGGACCTCTCTTTAGTCAATTAATTCAACTCATATTTACACTGTATGTTAGGCAGTAGTGTACAGTGAACGAAAGATCTCTGCCAACTTGGACTTAAGAGGCCAGATTAGTAACTCAAAATATCCACATGTAAATGTAAAATTACACTTACAATAACAAAGAAAACAATAACAAAAAAATCAGTTCAGGAAAAATTTTAAAAACACGCAGTATTTTCCTTTTTTTTTTTTTAACTATTTGTGACACTAAAAATTGTTTGACATGGGGGGAAAAAAATCAATAAAGAAAACTATTTCACAATTTGCCCAAGACTGCAAAAATAGTAATCACAACTGCAGTTTAACCTTTCAAATCATCAACTGTCTCTATAATAAAATTATCAAGATTTTACTATTTTCCAGATATGATATGTTACTACTGATCATATGGCCTGAATGTATGTTTTACATCCAAGGATATAAAGAAGTTTCTAAAGAATCTTACTCAAGCAAAAAGTGTAGAGAGGTAAGATGATCCATTATAATAATTAACAAAATGTTACAAAAATGATAATACTTTTAAAGGACTGACAACATAAAAAGCAAGTCTCATGTAAAAAATGAACAAAAGTAGAATTTTTAAAAATATTTTAAATAATACTAAATGCCAAGAGTATCTGTTAATTTTTAAAATAAAAGCACATAATTCTAGATGATTAACAGAAATAAGTAGTATTTAAATAAATAAATTTTCTGGTGTGTCTAGTTTCCACAACTGCGAAATAAGGATATCTGCCATACTTCTTTAGAAGATATTGCCATAAAGACTAAATTTTTAAAAATCAGTTATTTCAGACAACGGCTTCTTTTTTGCTCTTACAGCCAATTAACAAATAAAAGTGGTTAGGTTGGGTCTTCATCCCTTCTCCCGCCTGTAATGTCTAAGTGTTACAAAAGGGGCAAAAGACTGGCAACCAGAAGCGGAAGAAGCAGAAGAAACAAATTCTAAAGTGTCATAAATTACCCCAGAGAAGGTTGGCTGTCAAAGGTATTAACCCTCTTACATACCAACATATTTCAGAAAATCAAAGACAATTCTTCACATGTAAAAACTGTTTACATGTGTAACTCACCATCTCTAGAAACAGTTCTGCTATTACCTCGGAGGGGGGAAATACACTTTGTATACAATGTATTCTAGTTGGATTTTTTTCTTATTAAAGTATCTTGCATTTCATGTGATGATAGTTCAATGGCTCAGATTTTATTGCACTGAATAGTTTGTCAGTTTAGAATACCAAAACCATTACATGTTCATGGGTCTGAAGCAACTTCTAGCATAGATCTAACAACTAATCCGCCAAAGTCACAATCCCAATCAGCAGCACACTGCCCTGTTTAAAAACCATAGTTTAAGATAAATATTTCAGGTGGAGGGCACCTTGCAGTATTTCATCATTATTTCCACAAACTTTTCAGGCTGTTTCTACGTCTACCTATCTAATACAGACTTTTCCTTTAAAAGCCTTAAAATACAAGCCAGGAGAAATGGTTAACATGGCAACGTCAACGACTTCTTCAAAATCAAAACAAAATCACCATCAAAACACAGTACATGGATACTGATCACTATGCTTGAAAACCTATTTTTTTTCCTAAATGAAAGATTTGTTAGTACATTAAAACCACATTAAAAATCTATACCTATGTGCAATTTCCCAGCTGAAAATTTAAAATCCAGGAAAACTGCAAACCTTATCTGTGGCATTACCCAAGTATTATTTAACATGGTGGGCTGCATTTAAAAGAGGGACTATGGGAAGAAATACTGACAACTTTCAAAGGGTAAAGCTTTTTAAGTCTCCCCTAAATCACCTGTGAATAAACCGGTACACTACAGTCATGCTGGACTGGAGATCAAAGTTTTTCCTGTACTGTACTTGAGACAACTGTTGCCCCCACCGAAAAGGAACAGAAACTGATCATCCCTGCCATTGGGACCGGTCTCCCGGAATTTCCCAAAATATGTTCAATCGCCAAAGGAATATACACACTTCTCGAAACCAAAGGAGAGAGGTATCTTACCTGTTTAAAGACCGGGGTGGGGGGTGGAGCACTGACTGGCAGGTAAGCCAAGAGATTCCACCGTCGGCTAGCACCGGTGGGATACGAAACCCAGGTCTCAGGATGACCCTCCCGAAAAGCCTCAGGACCAGGGAGGTTCGCCAAAGGGGACCCCAGGCAGGATCGGAGGGCCCCGCCCCGCCTCTCTCGCCACCACCAGGAACCTGGGACCGCGGACAGAGGCAGCTGAGGCGCAGGGAGCGTCCGCGGTCCCCGCCAGGTCCTCCTGCAGCTCACCTGAGAGTGTCGCCTCCGCCTTCGGCTCCCACGGTGCATCCCGCGGGGCCTGGCGGAGGGTGCAATGACGCCGCCCCGACCGGCCCCAGGGCTGCCCGGCCTGGCCTCACCGCGCCGGGGACGCACCGGGTGCCCGCCTCGTACGGACTCCCGGGATTCCGCCTGTCTGCGGGGAAGGAAGGAGAGGCGAAAAGACGCCTCTCCTTCCCCGCAGCAAGCCACGTCCTGAGCTGAGGCTCTCTGCAGTTCTCTCTGGCGCAGGTCTGGCCCCGCTCCCCCGCCCGGGAGTCACTTCGGCAGCGGCGGCCCAGTCGCCATTACAGTCCAACAACTGACACGAAGGAGGAGCGGCGCCGGCGGCAGCGGCGGCGGCGGCGGCGCGAGGCAGGGCGGGAGTGGTCCGGAGCCAGGCAAATCTCGCGAGAACTGTTCTGAGCCGGTACCTCAGGAATGTAACTTTGGACTAGGGCCATGTTGAGTGTGGCCAGAGAATGAGGGCGAGATAGAAGGAAGAGAGGAAACACGAGGAAGCCATGTTTGGTGTGGCGAAGTTGGGCCTGGCGGGACTCGGGAGGAGCTAAAGTATATCCGCAGAGGAGACCACCTCCCCCTTCCCTTTGACTCTAATTGGGCCTTCTGACTGCGCATTTCATCCCGAGCGAGGAAAACATGCTGGGGATTTGACAAGGATGAACTCGAAGTCTGGGAACGGCAGCTTTCTGAGAGTTTAGGATGTTTCACCAGTTGTCCAAATAAAGCGTCATTTCAGTCAGTTTCAGAATAATTGCAGCTCTGCGGTTGCAGCAGTTTCCCCGCTGCTGTCACTGTTGCCGTTTTATCGTAGGGATTACAGTTCTGTTTAGCATGCGTCCTGTCTAATGGTTTAAGACTAAAGCAAGTAAAATGAAGTTTTCTCCCATTGGGTGCTGTCATTAATTTAACTGCGCTTTGAGAAATCCTCCGAGGGCAACATATTTTCTCCTATCTTTGTCTTCTTTTCCCTGTCCTCGCATGGTAAATTCTGTCATCTGTCAAGACTTAGTTTAAAAGACAGCTCTGCTGTGAATAATGCCATCTTCCTCTAGGTATTCATTGTTTACAAGCTCTCCACTCATCATTTCATCTTCTAGACTCATGGTTATTTACCCAGAAACTGTTTCTCATCTTTTAAGCACCTAGAAGACTTTGAGTTCTCCTTTAATACCCGCTAGGGCGTAGCACAGTTCGCTAGGACATTGTAGATGCTCAATAATTGTTTTCGAGTAAATCATATCATTAACAGCAGAAGGCAGTAACTGAACCTTCTTCATAGGGCCTGCAACTGTACCTGAATACGATGTAAGTGTATACACAAAAGTCTTGCACACATGTAAAATGTGTACTGTGTCTCCCAGAGAACGCATCATAGAAAAGAACAAGAAGGACGAGGAATGTGGCTCAGCGGCACAGCGCCTGCCCGGCAAGGACAAGGCCCTGAGTTCCATTCCTGGCACCAAAAAAAAAAAAAGAAAAGAAAAGAAATGTGGGTATCTCAACCATGCAAGTGGTAGAAGGGGAAAAAAAAAAAAAAAGCAGCATAAGGAAAGTGTAGCTTAGATTTTCGCCAATCTTGCAATGTATATTATTCTCCTGAAGTTATACAATCAGTTTAAGTAAGTATACTCACTTTAAAAAAAAGAAGAAAAACTGAGTTCTGAAAAGCTATTTGTCCTGCAATATACCATCAGTAAAAAGGAGATATGAAATTTAGTGTTCTTTAGTTCAAAGGTTACCTATTCTTGTTCAGCCCTCATGCTACCTTCCAGGCAACAAAGAAAACAAAAGTTTTTGTCATTATGTCAACAGCAGCCTTCCTTGGTATCTCAGCCTGTGCTCAATTTCCTTCTCCTTATGCTGATCTGTCCTTTCCCTCACCTCCAGAACCACCTCAGATGCATCAGTTGCTCTGCTTTTTAGGGGCTGGGGATTTAGCTCAGCGGCAAAAAGCGCCTGCCTGGCAAGCGCAAGGTCGTGAGTTCGGTTCCTGGTACCGGAGAAAAAACAAAAAAAAAAAAAAAAAAAAAATTGCTCTGCTTTTTGACATCCCGTGACACTTGTTTAAGCTGTATGGATTAAACTATTGAGCATATCAAATTTTGTAGTACTTGTTCATAGTTTTGTGAGAGTAACTTATCTCTGAAACAAGATTTGAAGCTTAATGCACACAGATTTGTATCCTTCCTAGAAATTTCCCCAGTGTTAGGCACATGATAGGCACTAGACATGGCTCTTTTTCTCTTCTGCCATTTTGTTTTGTTTTGAAATGGGGTTTTGCTATGTTGTCTAGGCTGGTGTTACACTCCAGGGCTCACGTTATTTTCCCACCTCACCCTCCCAAGTAGCTGGCACTATAGGTAAACACTACCACATTCTGCTCTCTTACTTCTTAATAGATAATAAGATCAAATTTTTATGCACTTTATAGTCTTTGTTGGTTAGTATAGTTTTGACTTTCACTTTTCTCTGGATAACTAAGTCTTGGCCCCAAATTTCAGACTATCTCTCCAATTAGCTGTCACCACTCTCCACAAAGACACAGAAGTCATAAGCATGCACCTTCAGCTTCCAAATGAAGTTTGTCATTTTTCCTCTCTTCAGTCCTACAAAGCCAGATCCTCTTTCTTCCCCTTTATTTCTGTTAGTAACTATTGTAAAAACGTCCTTTCAACTTTTGAAATGTTCAAAAATATTGTACAATCCTCTCTTTTCCTTGCTCTACCCAGTTATTAAGTCTCTAAATATTGTTGCATATTAAAAAAATATTGTTGCATATTTCTTTTTAAAATATTTTATTAGTATATATTGATTGTACATAATATTGGGTTTCACTGTGGCATTTTCATTCATGTATACAACATATTGTCATCATATCCATCCCCTCCACCTTACTGTCTGTGAATCAAGCCTAATGATATCTATGCTCTACGGTTAGGCTAAAGATAAGAAGTAGCACCAGGACATTAGAAGACAGAAATAAACAATGGCTGTTACCATGTCCCAAAATGGTGGTGATACATTATGGGGAAAGTTACATTCGAGTCAAAATGGATCGTAGACATAACCTACTCATTTCTACCTCTAGGCCTTTGTTTCCTAACTTGAAACACATATTAGCCTGGTTCACAATTTCTGCCACATTCTTTAGTATTGACTCAAAAGTTACAACTACAGAAAAATTCCATGATGTTCATATTTTGCATGTGTTCTTCCACCCTTGAATTCCATGATTTTGTGTATCCACTATAAGATAATTCTGTATTTGTCTTGCACATCATCATCGAGTTTGATTGTAAAGTCCTTTGCCTCATTCATTGAGGACTGAGACCGTGAACTCTGGACTCAGAACAGACCTGGATTTGAAGCCTGACTGAGTTTATTAGCTATAAAACTTATTAGCTCTAAGAGTTTGTTCAAGTTATTTAATCTCTTTTTGTACTTCAGTTTCTACTTATGAACAGTGGAGATTGCAATGATACCTACTTATAGGGCTGCACAAAGATTGAAAGAAGTACCATACATAAAACACATAACATAGTACTTGACACATGATAGGCACTCAAAAATGTTCGTTACTTTTTACCATTTTCCATAAGCTTAATCAATACCTTACTTGTACTAGGCACCCAATATTGTTGGAATTAAATTGATTTTTATTGAATTTTATTAAATTTTGGGTGAATAATTGTATGTTTACTCTCCTGGAAGTATGAAATTTGGTACTGTTTCTAGACAACACATTGAGAAATGGAGACCTACAAGTATGCTAATGTAATGATGCTGTCCACTCTTTGTAATAGATTTAATAAGATTATATGGCAGAATTGACTAGTGATTGTGTGTGTGTGCGCGTCTGTCTGTCTGTCTATGTGGCACTGGAATTGAACTCAGAGCCTTCATACTGATCTACATTCAGTCCATTTTTATTTTTTATTTTGAGGTCTCCTGAAATCACTAAGTTGTCCAGGGCCCAAACTTAAGATCCTCCCACCTCAGTCTCTAGAATGATGGGATTTACAGGCATGCACCACTGTACATGACCAATTCTTTTTCTTAGAGGATTTCTCTGTGTTAAGTATTCTCCTGCTTTGCCTCTGAAGCTGCAACTGTCTGGTTGAGTATACTGGATTGCCTCTCCTTTAACTGGCAACTCCCAGTGACTCCTTATCTTCTGCCCTTAACCAAGTAATCCTCTTTCTCTGGGGTTTACCCACGCTTGTAGGCTATCCTCTTGGGAAACCACCTTTTTTTTTTTTGGTTTTTCTCCGGTACCGGGAATCGAACTCATGACCTTGCACTTGCCAGGCAGGCGCTGTGCCGCTGAGCTAAATCCCCAGCCCCAAGGAAACCACAATTTAAAGCAAGAAAGATTTATTTTGGCTCATGGTTACAGTCCATGGCTGATGGACTTCAAGGCAGAAACGGGATGAGAGAGGGCCATGGCACAGGAGAAGGTGCTCAGCACATGGTGGCCAGGGTGCAGAGAGAGAGGACAGGAGCAAAGGACAAGAACATACCGTTCCAGGTCACACCCCAGCTGACCCACTGATGCATGTAGCATCCCTGTGATCCAATCACCCTCTGAACACGTGAGACTTTGGGGGGATTTGGGGACCTATAGAGAGATTTTGAAGTTTTAGATCTCAACCATAACAGGAGGACTCCCTCAAATTGATTGTTTAAGAAAAATTCCTATAATTTATTTCTTTTTTTAAATTTTTAGTTTTGAATAGTATATTCACATGGTTCAAAATTTCTAAAGTACAGAAAGGATAAGGCTCCCATTTACTTCTAGAAACTCTAGTTTGCTTCCACATAAACAGCCAATTAGCAGTCTCTTATCTATCCCTTTAGAGACATTGTATACATTTTTTGAGACAGTGTCTCCCTGTGTAGTTCAGGTATTATGTAGCCCAGGGTGGCCTTGAACTCATGGCAATCCTCCTGCCTCAGCCACCCAAGTGCTGAGATTACAGGCATGAGCTTCTATGCCTAGCTCACATTTTATACATGTGCAAGAAAATATTATATAGCTTCCTATCTATTCTTAACACAGATAGAAAACCATTCATATGGGATCCTTTTTACAGTGACACCTAAATTTACAATTTGTAGGGCTAGGGATTTAACTCAGTGGTGCAGCACCTGCCTGGCAAGCGTGAGGTCCTGAATTCGATTCCTGCTACCAAAAAAATTATAGTGATTCCTATGTCAGGTCAGGTCCCACATTTGGTCCCTCGTGTTCACCAATCTCTGACTCCTTTATTGGAGCAGAAACATTTAACTTCTTCTCTGGTACTATCCCCCACTGTGATGTCAGATTTGTTTTGCCCATCTCTGAATTTCACAGTTTAT